CCTACCAATAGCCATTAAAATGCCTCACAGATTAAATGCAATCATCCTCACTGTTGCCTAATGAAGGACTATCCTGGTCCCACTCCTGCTGTTTTGTGAAGCCAGCGGGCTTTGTGTCAGCCCCACACTTCTCCCCACGCTCAGCAAGCTGGGGCAAGAAACTCACCCTGGCTTTAATGGGCGAAGCACCCAGCACAAGGCCATCCCTACTCCAGACTGGGGCATTTAGGTGCTGCTTTATTGCCTACAACAGTCAGCACAAATGAGTAAATGCTTTGCATTGAGATTATTTGAAAGGGTCTAAGAGAACTCAGCTTTCTGAAAGAACAGAGCATTTTAGGGCTGGAGCAGGCACCGGTATTAGCATCATTACTAACACAGTTACAGCGTCTGTGCAGGCTCAATTCCCTAGAATTGACAGCCATGGCCATGGCAATGAAGTGATGGACAACTGTAATTCAAAGCACAGGGCACTGTAAAGTTGCCTGCTTAAAAAATGAGCCCAAAAAGCAAATTTCTTTCTGCTTTGGTTAAAGAATGGCAGCAGGTTTGGATAACTAGTCATGGCAGCATCAGCTTCCTCCACACTTATTTAACGGGACATCATTTCACTTAAAAAGATTGAGGGGATAGTATTACATGCTCAGACAGCACAGCAGTGAACGTGGTATAAAAACCTGGGGAGATAGATTAGTTAGCTATTTCTGCTCACAGCCTTCTCCTAGGAGCACAGAAATGCCATCTCAGCATGCTTTTTTGGAGGATCAGAAAATCATAATAAACACAAGGATAAAAATATACCATGGGAGTTACAGCTAATTTCTTGCTATAATTTGCAGCAATTTACACATAATCATTGTGGGTTTGAAAATACTGCACAGTGCCAACAGCAGAGTATCTGCTGAAATGCTGCAAATCACAAGAATGAGAAATGCAGTTTGGATTAAAAAACCCTCCAGAAGGGTTGTTTGGGATATCAGGTTCCCAGGTTCTTCCTTGCAGTCGACGTATGCAGGAGATTTTATTCTACCACATGCATTCCAGTTTCTTAGACTATAGGTGGATGGAACCAGTTTCATACCAACTGCTTTTAGGCTTCAGAAGAGTCCTACCAAATGGCAACGTAGTCTGTGTCTGCTTTGCATGTTAGATGAAGGGCTTTTTTTTTTAAAAAAAGGCTGTAAACAGTAGGCGCCACCACCACAACATATTCATGCAAATACACATTTGAGAAGGTAATAAAATTGTAGCAGATGTACTGAATTAGTGTTCAGAAATGTGTCTTAATATATTTATTTCCAGCATATGAAAATTACCGAAATCTCATTACACACTGATTTCCTTAAACATAATTTCTATTCAAAGATCCGTATTGATTATGAAAGAGGAAAATATTTGTACATGGTACATTTGTGGTTTTGTCCATTTTTATAACTGAAAATAATTCAAAACAATTTGAAAGGGGAATAAAAACAAATGTGCCCCCAGACTGGAATGCTGCATATAAAACAAACTAAAGATGAGTTATGACCCTCCATGAAGAGTGATTTATATAGAAATACTAGTGTTGTTACAACCCTCTTTTACAGGGTCATCAACAGAGGGGATATCATAAACGGGGGGTAAAATGATTTATTAAAAGAATACATTATCTTCGAAAGGAAAGAGATTTAATCTATGGCTCGCTAACACTTGACCCAGTGCAAAGGTTTCTTGTAGTAACAGGAGCAGACACAGGCGTGATGTGAAGAAGGGAGAAGTACGGGGACGGGTGCAGGCCTGATTTCAATGAGGGAGAAGCACCCAAGCAAGGGCGCTCCTGGGAGGGCTGATGTGGAGGACTGCAAACCTCCGAGGCATCCAGGTAAATTGCACCTGGTAAAGTGAGCTTGAATTTTAAAGCAATTTATTTTAAAAACCATGAGATACATAAGCTTCCCTTGGAAAATCAAATAGCAAAGAATTTAAAAGCACGCCTAACTTTAAACTGTTACTAGCCTTACTGAATGGCTGCAGGTTTTTTGAAGGCACCTAAAGGGACTGGGCACCTATATCACACTCAGTGGAAACTCTTTACCTAAATCTAGTTTGTATTTTGAAAATCTCATCCAGCGGGACTCTCTGTATGCCAAGTAAGGCTCAGATATGTTACTGAAATGCTGTCTCACCACATTTTGAATGTCACCGCCATTTAAAGTAGCTTTAAAGCATTGGTGCAGCTGATGTTGAATGCCTGTCTCTCCTGATAGCATTACATCTTCGGAAGACACAGGTCTGAACCAAAGCTGCAGATCAATATCCAAATGGACTTTGCACATGTTCACGTTGCACCTGCCCCAGCAGAACGTACCAAAAGTCAAGACCACCCTTGACTCGTGGGTGCGAGGTTTTGGTTATCATATTGAGGCATGAGCTCTTGACTTCTTACTTCATGAATACTCACAAGCAGACCTTCCCCCCGCCCCCCTTCTGGGAGCAAGTATTTTCAGAACTGAAGCTGGCTTCAGCAGACAGTGTTTCTGCTGGCATCTGCAAGACCTTGCTAAGCTTCTACCAAGATTTTACTTGTTCATGCTCCATTGTCTGGGAAGCTTAGGGAGCTTTACGTTTCTGTGGCTCACTGCTGGCAATTATGACTATTTGTTCAAATTCTCCTAATCCTAGATAAACATTTGGAAACGCTCATGAGAATGTAGAACGCATGTCTACACACATGTGTATGATGACACACGGCACATGCATAGTGGAGCAGTGGCTTTGTGCTGCCCCCTTGACTCATGACGATGAGAGAAGCTGGAAGCCAGAAGCAGCCAAGTTTGGAGCTGAGTTACCAGAGGAAGTGACGAGGCAGCAGCTGAACCCTGACTAACACAGCCCAACCGATCCCTTCCTATAGTTCCCTTACATCGCTGGAGTGCTATAGAGGAGTCATAAGGGGAGTGGAATGGCCTCTCAGAGAATTCTTCTCATGCTTGGGCAACAGAGAGCCACGGTGTGCATCTTCACATGACCCATCCTCCCAGCCTTTGCTGCGTGCTACTTTGGGAGCAGGAGAGAGCTTATGCCATATTGGTCAGCCCTCGGTCATTTGGGACTGCGCCTCAGCTCAGCAGTAAGCTGGAGTAGCAACTTGCTTTAACGTTGGGGACTGCTTTGACTTTCCAGTTGGCCCAGAATCTCTGAGTTGGCCCAGAAGATGCAAAAACCAGCTACATCCTCCTGTCCTCCCTGGAGCTTGTTTTCTGCCCTACATCTGCATCTCCCGAGACACACAGAACATAAGCTGGCTTTAAGTCTGTCCTTCAGCTGCCACAGAATTTGAGATCCAGGATCTTGCTACAGCTATTTCCCATCCTAGAAACAACAGGAGATGGGATGAAGTGTTTTAGAACGAATGCTCCCAAAACTTCTTATGGAGATGACCTTTCCAAGCTTTGGACTGAAGACTTTGGTGCTGACAGGATTCTTCGGGAAAAAACAACATGAGTTATTAATTTAGGTCATTGCCGGGGATGAGTCCCAGTGCTGTTGTATTTTAGGTTTCTTCTGCGTATAGAATCTCAAAGTAGAGAAGATTTGAACCCCTCCCGTCTGTATTCGAGATCCAGGGAGGCCCCGGGGATTCCTCCTGTGCCGGGCTCCTTCCCCTGCCTGCAGCCGGGCCGGCCGCGGCTAGGTGGCAGCACCCCCCTGGGCAAACCCCCCTCTGGCTTCCATGCCATCCAGCCCCTGTCCTCCCTGGAGCTTGTTTTCTGCCCTACATCTGCATCTCCCGAGACACACAGAACATAAGCTGGCTTTAAGTCTGTCCTTCAGCTGCCACAGAATTTGAGATCCAGGATCTTGCTACAGCTATTTCCCATCCTAGAAACAACAGGAGATGGGATGAAGTGTTTTAGAACGAATGCTCCCAAAACTTCTTATGGAGATGACCTTTCCAAGCTTTGGACTGAAGACTTTGGTGCTGACAGGATTCTTCGGGAAAAAACAACATGAGTTATTAATTTAGGTCATTGCCGGGGATGAGTCCCAGTGCTGTTGTATTTTAGGTTTCTTCTGCGTATAGAATCTCAAAGTAGAGAAGATTTGAACCCCTCCCGTCTGTATTCGAGATCCAGGGAGGCCCCGGGGATTCCTCCTGTGCCGGGCTCCTTCCCCTGCCTGCAGCCGGGCCGGCCGCGGCTAGGTGGCAGCACCCCACTGGGCAAACCCGCCTCTGCCTTCAATGCCAACCAGCCAGCCCAGCTCACAGGAAAGCCAGCTTGCATATTCCAATTTGTAGGAAAATAGAGGGAAAACAGAAGTCACCAAAGCCTCCTGAAGTCTTATATCAGGGCTGCGCAGGACAGCCGGAAAGCTACGAGTGAGCTGAGCCGTTCTTGTGCAGTGAAATCCAATACCACACAGAAATCGTCCCGGTTTGGACATCAAAAAGGGGAGAAAACCAGAAAAAAAAGCCAGCTTGCATATTCCAATTTGTAGGAAAATAGAGGGAAAACAGAAGTCACCAAAGCCTCCTGAAGTCTTATATCAGGGCTGCGCAGGACAGCCGGAAAGCTACGAGTGAGCTGAGCCGTTCTTGTGCAGTGAAATCCAATACCACACAGAAATCGTCCCGGTTTGGACATCAAAAAGGGGAGAAAACCAGAAAAATTTCTGGAAGAATTTCCTCAAGGCCTCAAACTGTTCCTCCAGACAAAGCTCAGCTGCCTTAGAAGAGCTCACAGTTCCCACATTCACCTGGATCTGGAACAACTCTGGCAAGGCAGATGCAGCACGAATAGCTCAACAAGGCTTTTGTCATTTTGGCTTAGTTTTGTCTCGAACGCGATGAGATAACATCGTCTCTCACAAATCAATTTTATGAGGATCTGTCAACTCAGTTCCCATCTGTTTTGGAAAATAAGCCTTTTCAGGTTAGGGTAGGATGTGGAGTCAAATCCAGAGAGGACAGGTTTAAATTAAAGTATTTGAAGTCCCTTGCTATGCCAGATAGCGAGGAGAGGGTTTGCATTTGAGCTTCCATGCCATGCTGGTTTCTGTTTCAAACCTTTTATTAGCAGTCATCATTTAGAAAAGACAAAGTATATACAGCAAAGAGGAAAAGAAGAAAGAAGCGATGCACTGTATGAGAATGCAGTCTGCACAGCACTGGCGAGATAGAGCAGGTAGGGAGAAAAGCAGAGATTCGTTAAGTTAAAGGTATTCACTTATAACTGAAAAATGGGAATAAAGTCTGGTAGGAGAAGGGAAGGCACTGCCTGATGTAGAAAATGAGAATCAGAGCATCAGAGTGGCACGACACAGGTAAGAGATCCCAAAGCTGATTTCTTACCATGCTCAGGGTTGAGCATTAGAGCTGGGGAAGATGGGGCTATGCACTCTGGTCTGCCTTTTTATCTGTGTATATAGATACAGAATAGTGTCATTGCTATGGAACGTCCAACACTTGGTACTGCACCCTCCGCTACATGCTACGGAAAAGCAAATGTGTCTAGCTTTGAAATCGATAGACCTGGGGCAGCTTCAACAGCGACGTCCTGAGCTCTGGTCACGAGTGTCACAGCTTGCTATTAGAGACGTCTGCTCCGAGCTGCCACCCCCTCCGGGGAGCTGAGCGCCAAGCTTCACCTTACAGCCCTTTAGGAGATCAAGAGACTGTAAGTGGCAGCATTTGCACCAAAATTGCCAAGGTATTAACATTGATTTATTTCAATAACGGTGACATATTCACAGCCTTATTCCATCACCCTCCTCAGAATCCTAAACGCTACACTAATGAAGAAATATCTGCTTCTGCCTGTGCTCTGCTGCTGTTGATGGGGAAGAAAACAAAACTTGTCTCCTTAGGTATTGTTCACTGTTCTCATTTTCAACTATTACTTATATTCACAAAAAATACAAAAAGCTTTTCATTAATCAATTATTAAAAGAGTCAGGAATGATCTATAATTTCACAGACTGCTATATAGAAAAAGGACTCTTGTGCTTTTTCCTTGAGTACCTCTCTCAGCCCTGTTAGCAGCAAGCATCTGGCAGGAGGGAAGCTGCCTGGGTAGAGCAATGCCTTCCCTCTGCCCCAGAAATTTCTGCCCAGATTTAGCTGAAGAGTTAAGGAAGAGTTAAGGACTGTCACATCGGGTTTTTTCTCATTTGCATTCCTCATAAAATATTGGCGCTTTGCTGAAAACACTGAACATAACAAAGGCAAAGCCAGCCTAACAGCTCTGCCAAAGCAGCAGCTGCAGGTATTGGATAGAGGACACCTCTGAACTTTCAAAATGAGCTTTGGTAAGAATGTGCGTGTGTATGGAGGAGGGGAGAGCTTCCCACCCCAGCCTATTCCCAGTCTGAGCATCGCATCCTTCCGTGGGGGGAACATCTAACATGAGTTTTTCCAGCTCACACCGCCCTCCTAAACCGATTCTCTCCCAAATGTGAACACAGCACCAAGCCACCTCTTCCTTCGCTTCTAAGAGAAAGCGAGGGAAGTATTTTTCTGAACCTCTGAAGTGACTGATGCCTGCGCTATGCTGGTGGTAGCTTGAGGTTTCAAACCCCGCTGTGCATGGAAGGTTACTGTGTCATTCTTGAGCCAGACTCACCACATACAGTCGAAAAAACCTGAGAAGGAAATGGAAACTGCCCTGTTCTACTCAATGGGTTTCTGCAAAAGCGTGACGTCAGAGCAGCACCACAGACATCTGGGGGGGCTAGCAAGGGTTAGCAATATACTGGCACCAGAGCCCTATCACAGCCTAGATATGCTTTGCTTCAGTATGATTAGGTGCCAGCGCTATCCTGACATCTGAGACTCGAGGCCTGTGCTGGGCACCAGGCACGCAGCTTTGCTCCTTTCATAGATCTGAGCATCAGAGAGCGCCCAGGACTGGAAACAGGCTGACTGCCAGCCCTGGAGCAAAGAAGAGCTGCTGGTATGTGGGGCTGGGAATGCCTTTTGCTTTCAGAGAAGGAAGAGGTGTGAATGAGAGGTGGGTCAGAAGTAGAGGGATGAAGAAATGGGGATGGAGAAAAAAAGAGGGGTCTCCAAACACCAAATTGCTTGCTGCTCTGAAGCCTTTGCAGTGGGATGGGGCTCTCTACAGACACATCCTGACCCTCTAGCAAGATCAGGTTGCCTCAGAAGTGGTTTGTAAGGAAAGAATGGGCTAGACACCCCCGCCCCTTGTCCCCCAAAATAACTGCTTGACTGAAAATTTGAATCTAAGAGCAGTTGTTGCAGATATTGTGATCCTCCTTTGTTACCTGTCATGAAAGATTCAGATGGTATCACACATCACTAGCTTGGCCCCGCATTCTCCATAACGTGTTCTGACACTCTGACTGCATTAGCATTGTCTTTTACACTCATAATGTCTTTTACAGCAGAAGTCCCCATGGGGGAAAGAAATCTTTGAAGCTACCCATTCAAATCTTCAAAGAAGGACCTTGAAGAGCACTCAGAGAGAAAGTGTGGGAAAGTTTGGAACAGGGGATAGTACTATAAGACTGGCTTTCTCCTTTTTCCATCCGTACTTGTACCACTGTTGTGTTCCCACTTTTTGCAGCTATGTAAAGTTCCCTGAGTGCTGAAGAAAATTTATCCATTCTCCCATCCTCTGGGAAATGTCTACCAGTTTCTTCAAAAAGTTGTGGACCAGAAATAACCCATGAACCTGTAATACAGATTGCAGCCTTAACCTCTGGCAATGAAGAGACTGGGGAGGGGGAAGATGGGGGTAGAGGTGGGGGCTGCATGCTCCTATAGCATACACTTTTTAGGCATGTTTTTTCAAGCCAAAGGCTTAACCGTTTTTACCATACACCATTCTCAGCAGTTTGCAAGCCAAATGCCAAATCTTTGCTAGTGCTTCATAGCAAAAGTCCCCAGGAAATGCCAGTTTTTGCTGCTAAAGAATGTGGTAAAAGCTGGTAGATTTTAGTTGTGGAATCATACTATTTAGAGAAATAATAAATCACTCAAGACGACGTGTTTTCTCCCCTTAAGCAGATGCTTTTTGTTTCATTTCCGCCTGACATATTCCTCAACCCACACAATCATTAAGTCACTAGGTTTTTACAGGAACTTCTGTGGTAAAAGCAAAAAAATTCCATCAAAACCAGATGATACATGTGTGCATGTCCTCTGGCTGCTCATTACTGTCCCTGATTAAGAGCGGTGCACTGCTCTCTGCATTTCATTCTAGATGGAAACTGCCGAGTTCTATTACGTTTATTACTTAGCTCAAGATTATCTGCAATACGTGCTTCAAGAATCGCATCTTGGACCAGCCCAAACCAGGGTTGCTCATGTCTTGCGAAACATTGCATCTTCGCTGCAAGATCAAACCGAGGAGGCCCTCAGACCATTCTTGGACAGGATTGATATCACCTCTGTAGCTGTTGCCAAGAGAATTTTCAATGGCGTCATGGAAGAAAAATTTGCTGATGGCAATACTAACTGGGGACGAATTATGACCATATTTACATTTGGAGGTCTTCTCACTAAGAAACTTCAAGAGCATGGAGTTCAGCTGACTGGAGAGGAGAAGGAGCAGATTTCTTATTTCATCACGGAGTACATAATAAACAACAAAGCCGAATGGATAGATGCGAACGGTGGCTGGGTAAGTTTCTAATTTTCCACCAAAGTCTAGAGTAGGAGATTTTGTTTCATCAAGGAAAACTATTGCTTCAGACACTGTCAAAATAATTTTATTCAGTGTTTTATTTGGTGGTTTAATATTTGATGTCTGCAATGTCTCCCTGAGACTTACAGAGAAAGCTTTGCTTCTGCTTTAAATAGAACCAACACTGAAAGACAACTTTCTTTTTTAAAAGGCACTTTCTGTACCTGTAACAGTAGAAACCCTAGAGTTAGTCTTGAATCATAGGATCATATGATAATGCAGGTCGAGAGGGACCTTAGGAGATCATCTGGTCCAGCCTCCTTCTCAAAGCAGGTTAAACGATGCATGCCATTAAATTTCCCATTACTGAATCTAAAATTAAGTGGCATCCTAAGGTTAGTGCAGCAATTTTGCTTTCATAGAGGAGCTGGTCCAAAAATACTGATGTTCAAAGTAAAGGGAAAAATACACAGGTGTGCTCCTCACAGTTGAAGTCAGTACTTTTGCTGTGGATTTCAACAAAGCCATTATCTAATCCCCCAAATCAGTTTTACTTAGACAAATTTACAGGTAAGTGCAACTCGGGTTAAATCTTTTCTGTTTGTTTGGATTGAGATAATCCTAGAACTTCCATGTATCAATGACCAATGCTGAGAAAAGCTTTTGTCAATATGTGGGTTATTTTGCCAAGCTGCTGAAATTCCCCTCTGCCAGTGGAGAGGAGGTTCCTTTTGCTCTGCAGAGTTTCATCACGCCAACACCTTTTTCTTTTGCAGTTAGGCAAAGCTGAGAATCAATGACATTGGAGGCAGTTATTTTCCTGGTACATTTTTCCTTCACCTACATGTAAATGTTACTTTCTCTTTCCACGCCTCTCTCATCCCACTTCTCTTATGTTTCCTATTTGCTGACACTTATTTTCTAGTGTCTTCTTTTCCTTTTTTCTCTTTTTGCTTGTTTTGATCCTTCTCTGTCTGGTAACAGCAAAAAAAAGGTGACAGTGAGTCACAGACCCTCGATGCATCAGATTCATTGTAAAGGCTTCTCTCTCCATCGCTTTTAAATATAGTCAATTTTATTTAAGAGAAGTAGCAATTCATGGCCACATTCTGTCATAATATGTGGCTCACTGTAGTAGAATAAGGAGGTTTAAAGGAAGATTTTGTAAGTGTATTACTACATCAGAAACACAGTACTTGTATCTTCCTTTAAATGTGGGCTCAGATGATGATATAGTTTACATTCATTTGGTATTTACAGAGGGAGGGCAGAGTCTTGACTTGGAGATAAACAAACACTCAGCAAGGTGTAGCTATTTTCAGCTACTGTTTTAGAAGCCCTATTCACCTTTTGGAGGGAGAGCACTGAAAACCTGTCCCTCTATGCACAATGGTGTAGCGCTCTGTTAATCTGATGCTGGCACAGAGCGGTGTGGTTTTTTCCTACACATAATTTTTAAGCTGTCCCTAACTGTGCACATTCTTTTCTATAGGAAAATGGCTTCCTAATGAAGTTCGAAAGAAGATCACTACTATCTTTCTCCAAAATTACAGCCATGTTCATAGCTGTTTTTTCCTTGTTCAGAGAGTACTACTGAAACAAATGGACCTGCCGTTCATGTATAATCTGGATATTGCCACAAGCTTCATTGCTAAGCTCTCCTCCAAGCAATATCAACAAGAAAATAATTTTCCTCCATAATTTGTTTTTATTTATTTATATTTATTTTTACTAAACACAATGTTTAACATGCTATCCTAATTGCGAAACCTGAAGATGAGATGCCTCTAAAGAGGAATCAGCACAGCATCATTCAGCAATTCAAGTCACCCTTTCCAGGCAGGACTGTTTCAAGAGAGAGGGAGATCATTCTCCACATCCAGGCAGCTCTTGGGACCTCTGTTGCACCTCCATGAAAGGACATTGTTTTACTAAAATACAATCCAATGGGTTAAGAAACAAGTTTTAATGTCATTTGTTTTGTAAATGAAGTACTACTGTAATGCATTTTATTGCAATCTTTGTATAAGCAAAAGGGGGGAGGGTGTCTGTGAAGAAGAAGGAAACGCAAATTCCAGTGTAAAAGTGGGTACAAGCTACTGACACAGAGTAAGCAATTTTATGGAAAGAACAATTTGTAGAAGCTAGCAACTTAAAAATGTGCACTCACTGTTAACGCAATGGTATGTGTTACTTTGTTGTATTTTTTGATTGCTCGTCTCTCCAGTGAATGTTCTTTCAAATTTGTGTAATGTAGTCATCTGGCTGATTATTTTTTTTAACTAGATATTTTAAAATAGGCAAGTACAAAATATTTTTAAAATGAGACATTTGTGTAAATACACTAATATTTTTGAAAAATACATTAAAATATGAAAGTCTTACAATTGGTTTCATTTCTTTCAGAAAAGTTGGAGGATGGGAAAAGGTCTACCGGAATAAGACAACTCTCAGAAAAGCTATCATAATGCTACTGGAGAATCCAGTACCAAGCAGTATACGGGTTTGACCTGATGTCATGGATGTCAAGACTTTAATTTTCTGTAGGACTTCTTAAGTATTATCTGGTAGCTTGTATAAGAAACAAGACAGTTTGGGGTAAAATAAGTTAGCTAGATCAGGTCTGATGGCAGTAATTAGTGTTTTGGGATATACTGCCAAGGCAGCAAATTCACAAGTAGGACCTAACAGATTTCCAGGCTTTTATAGGCTGAAGCAACTATTTTTTTGACTGAAATTCCATTTGCTTTCAAATGTTAAATGGTAGTTCTTCAAGAATTCATTCTAGAAAGGTTTTCTTTAGCTGTAGTGACTCTCCTATATTAGGGAGCTAAGGCTGGGTCTAAAGACTCTTCTTCTTTTGTAGACTTGTTGGGAGGTGAACCAACCTGAGGCAGCAGTGGGCCTATGGCACACAACAGCATTATTCTTGGAGACAAATCCTCTAGACAGCCAAGGTGTTATGACAGCGGGAGAAGGAACCAGCCTCATTCTGGTAATGGATTCTCCATCTTTCACCTCAGTATAAGAAATTTTTTACAGTAAGAACAATCATTTACTGGAACAACCTCCCCAGGGACATGGTAGAGTGCCCATCACTGGAGGCTTTCAAGATGCAACTGAACAGTGCTAGATAGTGGCATCTAGGCTCCCTTTCCCGTGAAAGGTTGGATCAGATGATCTTTCAAGGTCCCCTCCAGCCTGGGTTCTTCTATGATTCTGTGCTCTAACTTGGTGTGTTTAACTACAGAATGCAAACAGATGTTAACATTTGCTAGAACCTGTATTGCTTCCTCTCCCTCTCCCTCTCAGTCTTCTTTTCCCTCTCCCTCTTCCTCTCCCTCTCCTTCTCCCTCTCCCTCCCCAAAGAAAACAAAGATTATTTAGCATGCATAGCAGGACTTCTGACATAAAATTTGCTGCTGTTGAAGAAGAGATGGCAGCTTCCTGAGGGCTGGGGGCTGCTAAAGGAAAATACCCACCCCAGAACACCTATGCAAGTTCCTGTCAGAAATGACATTTTAAAACATACTTTGACATATATTTATTTATTTGCAGTCTAAGTTTTCATGATAAGAACAGTAATTCTTACTTAGTTCCTTTTTGAGAACTATTGTAAAGCACATATTGTAGTGGCTAACACCAGCCTATTAATACTACACTTACTTCCTTCTACACTAATCTAGTAACCTGTTTTATACTGGGGATACAATTTTTTTTAATTAAATATAAGAGGCTAACCTAGCCTTTTAAAAATCTAGGTGATGCAGTAATTTTAGAACTCGCCTTCATGGTGACTGTGGGCTTAAACAAAAGAAGCCTGGGTCATTAATGGTCCAGCAGGCTCCAGATTATCTTCAGAAGGGCAAAGCCTCCGTTTGCTCTGCATTTAAGAGCAAGAAAAGCAGTGATTAGATGTACCACCCAGATTCTAAACATAATAAAATGTCTGGAAACAACAGGGCTATTAGCCAAGTCTTATAAAATAGTGTAGGTGTGCTTTGTTGACCATCATGAAGTTATCTGTACATGACACTGGTTGAGTAGTACCCCAGGTCCCGGGGCACTGCGGTTTGAGGGATCCTTACAGCTGTCAGGCGATACACAGCAGAACACAACATGGTTTCTAGAGCAAAAGAGGAGGTCAAAGAGCTGCAGAGTGGGATGGCTGATGACTTAAATCAATGTGCACAGTAGCTAAATTGAGATGGCACCAAATACCACATACAACAGATTTATGAAAACAAGCATTCTCCTACAGAAATGTCCCCTTTGCACTTTACGGTGGGTTGGATCATTAAATGTGCCCAGGCAAAGCCTCCAGCTTTGGACACGGCCACGCAGGCTAGGACACCTTCCCCGCAGGTGCCACGAGGCCGATGGCGTCGGGAGCCGTGAGGCCGTGCCACCGTGCCTGGGCGCGTGTTCACTGCACCTCCCGCACGGCCCAGGCCCACCGCTGGAAGCCGTAGGGATATGAAACCGTTTGGCAGGCGGTGGTAAAATGCCCTGCCGAAATGTTAATTCCCTTTCTACCACAAAACTACTAAAGGGGAAATTCTTCGTCATCTACGCCAGACAAAAAAATAAAGATGGGCCTTGCCAGGGCGTTGTCAGGGGCCCGGCGGGCCCTCCAGCTCCCTCACAGCCG